CACCTCCCTGGGCAACCTGTTCCAGTGCTCCACCACCCTCACAGTGAAGAACCCTCTCCTCATCTCCAGTCTAAATCTGTTCCCCTCCAGCTTGAAGCCATTGCCCCTCGTCCTGTCACTGCAGGCCTTTCTAAACAGGCTCTCCCCAGCCTTCCTGTAGCCCCCTCAGGTACTGGAAGGCTGCTATTAGGTCTCCCCGGAGCCTCCTCTTCTCCAGGCTGAACAACCCCAGCTCCCTCAGCCTGTCCTCGTAGCAGAGGTGCTCCATCCCCCTGATCATCCTTGTGGCCCTCCTCTGGACCCTCTCCACCAGGTCCATGTCCTTCTTATATTGAGGGCTCCAGACCTGCACACAATACTCCAGGTGAGGTCTCACCAGAGCAAAGTGGCAGAATCCCCTCTCTGGACCTGCTGGCAATGCATCTTTTGATGCAGCCCAGGATGGGATTGACCTTCTGGGCTGCAACTGCCCACTGCCTGTGCTGGATGCGCTGAAGCCTGAGCAGAAGCCCCCAGCTGCTGAGACCTGATGGAGCAGCAACTTGTTGCAGAGCCAGAGCAGGACCCCTCCAGCCCCATGGAGGGGGGGACCATGGTGACATCGGGCACAGCTTGGACCCCTCCACCCCCAGCAGGCACAGGCAGCAGCCCAGCTGGCAGCGGGGTTCTTCCTCCCTGCCTGGCACCTGTACCCCAAACCTGTACCCTTGTGGGCAGAACACAGGTGCCCACCCCAAACCCACCACAGGACCCTTCCCCAACCTCTCCTGAACCACCCAAGCTTTGCCATGCAGCCTGCATGCCACATTCATGCCAGGATTTAGGATAGTTTGTACCTTTTCATCACACTTCAGAGCCCCAGCTCCATCCCCATCCCCAGAAGCAGCCCTGGTGGTCCCAAATCAGCCCCCCCAGCCCAGCTGGGGCTCAGGGCAAAGCCAGGCCACGTTGGGGACATGGGACAGTCACTGCTCCTAGAAGAGATTCCAGTAAAAAAACCACCCTGCAAAGCTTCCAGCCAGTGCTCCCACAGCTCGGGTGTTCCCAGAGCAGAGGCAGCCAAGGCAACAGTCACCACAGTGGATTTTTAAAAACTGAAGTCTTTATTAAAAGTTTTATCCAAATTTTGTAACAAAAGATACAAAAGGGCTGGAGATCCTTATTTCTGGGACTAGTCTGACCAATCGAAACCTGACAGTTACTAGGCTAATATAAAATCCATACAATCTGCTAAAAATGCAGGGAAAAAAAAAATTAGAAGTAACTGCTGCTCTGAATTTTTTTTCTTTTTTTTTTAAATTCCTTTTAACATTTATAAGTTACTCAGTTTGCATTTTACAGGACTAGTTCTTCTCCGAATGGTTACAGCGACTGTACAATGCAAGAGACAACAGCAAGAACAGAACAAAGCACCAGGAACCGGGATGTGCTGCAACACACACCCCGTTCCTGGGAGGGAACCGCCACGGGTCCCCGTCGTCCCCCCTCCCCGCAGTGCCGGGGACCCCCAGATCCCCCAGAGCAACCACCAGGAATGCCACAAAGTGCCAGTGGAGAACCCCAACAGCAGGAGGAAGAGGAGTTGCCCCCACCCCATCAGTTCCCACCCCTCGGATGCCAGGGGGCTGGTTCTCCCCAGAAGCTACGGGATGTGCCAGCCCAGCACCCCCAGGCAGAGGATGGGTGGGCAAAGGGGTCAGAAACCCTCTGATGGGGCTGGATCCCCCCCCGTTTCCCCCCCTTCCAGCCACCACAGAGTTGGGGGGGACACAAGCTCTGCGGCACTGCAGGGGATTGACACGGGTGGGAGAGCTGGATTTCTGAGCGACGCACTTCTCTTCAGGCTGAAAAGGAAAGAGGAGGAGGAGGATGCGAACACCAGGCTACCGCCGAGGCAACTGTCCAGAGCTGGTACTGGCTAGAAGGACCCTGAGAATATTTAGGCTAACACGGTCTCCCGGGGAACGCCGAGTTAGGTGCATCACAGTGATACTGGTTGAACGTGTTCTGTACAGTGCGAAACGGAGCTTTATGGGAGTGCAGTATCCCTTTACCTGCTAGTTCCTATCTCTTCCCAAAGGCAGAGGCTGCCAGGGGGGGTTGTGAAGAGAAGCCCCATCGCAGCCAAGACGCTCACAGCCGCCAAAAAAAAAAATTATAGAGCGATGCGGACATCCAAGGGAAAGTTAGTAGGTGGCCACTGGGAAAAATAATTCCAGTTTATACAAAAAAAATAAAAATAAAAATAGGAAAGCAAGTGCAGGGCTACTGCAAGGTGCATCGTCTGAGGTACCAGGTCTTGCAAGCAGCCAACACCCCACCTCCCCCCTCCCCCAAGACCCCCGAGCACCCCACGTCCCCAGCGCTAAAGTATCTTCAAGCATCTCCAGAGATGACATCACCATTATTTCTCTGATCAGAGAGACCTCAGCGACCGTTGGCTCCGAATCCATCCCGACGGACCGGGTGGGCACCCGCAGCTCCAGACGGCCCGAGCCTCTTCGGGGAAGCTGGTCTGAGGGCCCGCGGACGGGGAACACGCTGTCTTGGCTGCGGTGGCAAGCTGGAGCTCTGGGTCCAGTGTGGCAAGGCTGATTTCAGACATGAAAGATACCCTTTTTTTTTTTTTTTTTTTTTTTTTTTTTTTTTTTTTTTTTTTTTTTTTTTTTTTTTTTTTTTTTTTTTTTTTTGCAAACTGCTGCACAAAACCACAGAACGGAGAAAAGCCTTTGGTCATGAGATACTTGTGAGAAAGTGAGCCTTGTATGGAAGATTCCCCTGAATGCCTACAGTATTCTACATCTTAAAAAAATATATTGTGGACGCTGCAGCCATACAAAGGGGGGAGGAGCGGGAGACGGGGATTTACAGTCTCACATAGACACAACGGGGAGGTTAAGACAAGCACAGTCATAGTCTGTAAAACTGATTGGCTTGCTGGGATCAGTCATCCTCATCGTCCTCTTCCTCTTCTGCATCTTCCTCTCCTTCATCCTCTAGATTTCGTTTTCTCTTTTCCCCTCGTGGAAGGTCTGCAAAAAGAGGCGAAGCGTGAAGCTCTGCTCAGTCTTGTGGAACAGCCCTTGAGCTGGTGAGCAAGCACGGACCAGACTGGCACCATTTCGGAGCAGGGATCCACCCTGCCCAGCTTCTCGTGGCACCCAGAAGAGCTTGGACTAGCAGGAGACACCAGCTATTTTCTCTCTGCCCCCCAAGCATCCCACTTTTCAACAGCCACTTGAAAATGGGCTCTTTTTTTTTTGTCGTTGTTGTTGAGCACCCCCAAAAACAGAGTGTCTGGAGAATTCAGTCACTTCTGACCAAGCTCACACAAGATCATCTGAAGTCACACCAGCCATGATATTGTGTCAACATTCCCTCTGGGTTTATAGTTTGTTATAACCAGAGGAGTTTGGACTCAAGTCAAGAAGCTCAGGTCTAACCCTCTGCTCCACGGCCAGGAGGAGAAACCTGTCTCTCCTCACACACACACGGCAAACACCAGCTCCTGCCACAGAAGCCCCGCTACTCAGAACTGGGTTTCCAGTTTCTATCTCTAATATTTGGCAGATTTAACCCAGCCTGGTTGTATCAGCTGGCAGAGAAGCCCGTTTCCCCATCGCCTGTGTGTCACCCCTTGTTTGTAGCCACTACTCAACGGTCAGCTGAGGGACACGGGCACCGCTGAAGCTGTTCCTTAAGCAGAAAGGCAGCACTTTCTGTCTGGGAAAAGCTGCAGGGGACAGCAGCACTGCCCTGAAGCTTGGGAAACTCCACCAAACCAGCAAACATGAGAGTGTTGAGGGAGCTTGGCACGCGCTTAAGTCTGTTAGGACTTGACTCACCATCATCAGCTTCATCTTCTTCATCATCCTCACCGTCTTCTTCCTCATCTTCCTCCTGGAGTCAAAAAAAGACACTTCGTTACAAGAACTACAATCCCACCAGCAAGGTGTGACCCCACAGCACCATCTGCCTTCTCCTCTGCCCCCGACCTGCTTTGGCCTCAGGAACCAGGCCCAGGCCCAGCTGGGAGAAGCTGCCGGGTCCTAAACAGCTTCCTGCATCCCTAGGAAGGGGGGGTAGGGCTTTTTCTCATTTGAAGCCACAGGAAATACCAGGCTGAGCAATAAACAAGCGTGAATGGACAAACTCTGTGGCCAACAAGTCAAAAAGCGTGTGGGAAAAGCCAGGGCACAGGGTGGCACTGCTCAGATCTGCCCACATCCGTGGCATCTGGTCAGATGGGTGAAAGATTAAAGGACAAAAGCACCACCAAACACACCAACTGGCGCTGCAGACAGAAAGCCTCACCTCATCATCTACTCCATCCTCCTCCTCTTCACCTTCCAGATCATCATCTTCATCTTCTTCGTCATCGATGACTTCTTCATCCAAATCATCTTCGTCGTCATCATCATCCTCTTCCTCACCTTCTAACAAAAGGAGAAGGAGGTAAGTGCTACTGTTCCCAAAGTGATGCGCTTGCAGCTCCAACCCCACAGAGGAGCGAGGGGCAGGAAACCCTAGAGGACACGTGCACAAGGAGGGACAGCAACAAGCCCCATCAACTTGGAGCCCAACAAGCCCCATCAACTTGGAGCCCAACAAGCCCCATCAACTTGGAGCCCAACAAGCCCCATCAACTTGGAGCCCAACAAGCCCCTACTTTAGTGACAAGCCATAATCACCATTTATTTAGCAACCTGACCATGCAGAAAGAAAAAAGAAGGTCATTCCCCTGCAAGAAAACCAGGAGGAGAAAATCCTCACCTTCCCCATTCTCATACTCATCTTCCAGTCCATCCCCATCTGCTTCAGGGTCTGAGTCAGGGGCTTCCTGGTCATCGGCGTCAAAGCCATCCAGGTAGGTGAGCTGGGGCAGGAGGGTGAACACGCTCTCCCGGTAGTTGATGAGCATTGTCACCTCACAGTTGAAGAGGTCCAGACTATGGAGGTTTGGCAACTTTTTCTGCAAAGATCAATTCATTTGGTTATTTACAAGCTGACAGCGTTTGAAGATCAGGCAGCCGTCAGAGGGCAGCTCGTTTGCTGCAAGATGTAGCACAGAAGAGCCTCTGGATGCATTATTTGCACCACGTGCTCCTCAGATGGAGAGAAGTCACTGCTCTTGTAAGTGCAGGGAAAGATTTCAGCTCCTCTGTCCTTGTTTCCCCTCCTCAAAACCAGCTCCCTGCAAAACCATTTACTCCTCAGATGGAGAGAAGTCACTGCTCTTGCTAAGTGTAGGGAAAGATCTCGGCTCCTCTGTCCTTGTTTCCCCTCCTTGAAACCAGCTCCCTGCAAAACCATTCTCAAACCTTACCCCCTTCTGAGCAGGGGGGGCAAGAAGCACAGGAAGGCCAGCTCCCCCAGGCAGGAGGAATCACTAAGCTGGACTCATCCTGCCCAAAACAGCAGGAAAAACACCCGAGAGGGGAACACGGGAGACCTGCAGGCTGTGCCACAGCAGCTCTGCTGCTCGGGCCATTGCACCATGCACCAGGTCAAGCAAAGAAGAAGAAAAACAGTTTCAAGCCCTTTTTTGGAGGGACCAAAGCCAACGGCTAATGAGGCAAATGCCCTAGATCAGACCTTTCAGCTACGGAGTCAGGATCACAAGGCAAAGAGCCTTCCCTGGGGCAGTTCAGATGGAACAGGAAGCCCCAGTGACACTGTGACAGCACCCAGGGTGAGAGGATCCCAGCCCAGCACAACGGCGCCTTCGGACTGACGTGACGGGACACCCTCACGGGAGAGTCCAAGCAACTCATCTCCATGACACCCCAGGTGCCACCTACCTCAAACTGCATCCGACCCATTAACGGTCCTTTCTCAGATGGACACTGAGCACTGCATCCACAGTTTTACTCATCCAGCCCAATTTCACGCTTCTTTTAGCAACTGGCTGCTGGTTTTCCAGACAAGAGGAGCCATTAACTATTAGCCCAGCCTCAAACTGGACCCACTCATCTGTTCCCATCAGAACCACGAAGTGCTGTTGGAACAGTTACCAAGACATTGGACTTCTGCTGCACAGAAGGAAACAGGGTCATCCCTCAGATTCCAGCACAGCCTTTCACTCACCAAGGGCTCCAGGGTATTGATGTCTTTGATCTTGTTGCCGCTTAGATTCAAGTGTGTCAGGTTAGGAGTTCTCTCTGCTAGAACTTCAAGGCCACCAGAAATCCTGTTATCACTCAGCTCCAGCTGCCAGGAGAGAATATCACACGGTCACAAAGTGTCTCCACTTGGGACATGGGGGATAAGATTGCCCGGAGAATGGGGCCCCCCAAGTTCCAGCCCCTGTTTGTCAGACCAGGCCAAAGAGCAGCAGTTCAAGTTTTCACTTCAAACCCCTTTCCTGCTGTAACGCAGCCCCCCCAGCCCCCCCTGTACTGCAGGACATGGGGGCTCTAAAATCCAAAATATTAGAATGTTACTGAAGCATCTGACAGTAGCACAATAGCAAAATCAAGAGAAAAAGGATGCTAAATATATAATAAGCTCAAAAGCATTTTGTTGCGCACTAAAAAGCCACCTTTCTCACTTGCTCAGGCTGCAGGGGAAAAAACAAAATCAAATGGCTTTTTTTTTGGCAAATGCAAGAAAACCAACTGTCACCAGGATCAGGGCAGCAAAAGTCTCAGAGCAAGGACTGCTGGAGATGGGACCACAGGTCTGACTCACCTTCCGGAGTTTGTTGAGTTTAGGGAGATTGGAGACAGACAGCAAGTTGATGTTGATCATGCTGAGGAACTCCAGGTTCTCAAAATCTGAAGAAAGACCAACGATCTTCCCATCATCCGAGCGGCAGTTATCAAGGACCAGCTCCTTCACCTGCCAACAGAGACACCCAGCAGTTGTCATCACGCCCGGCTACGTCTCACCCCAAGCCTGTCAAGGTGACATCAGGCGCTGTGACACACACTTCAAAGCAGCAGCTGTGGCCAAAAGTCCTCCTCGGTCACACTGAGGGACACGCAAAGTCTTAAAACCCAAATCACTTTTGCGAGGGCACAAGGTGAGAATCCCTCATGGCAGTCACAACTTGAAGCCCAAGCCACGCACCATGGGATGGCAGTGCCACCCACACCCCGTGGCTCCAACCAAGGTCCAACTTCTCCACTAGGAAGCACAAAGGGGATGAACCATGAGGCTGCAGCAAAACGTTTCACGCAGAAGGCATCAAGAAGCTTTTCAGAGTCACGCTTCAGGCTTCACTACCAAGAGGCCAAACAAGGTTGCCTGGTTTTGTCCCCTTCAACTTTCTCCCCCAAGCCACCGGGGTGCCGGAAAACCTGCCTCCAGAGGACCTGTCTCCCTGTGACAGTCCCCAAGCAGAGGAGACACACATGCCTTGGCACCTCGTTAAGCAGAGGAGCTCAACTGCAGGACCACTGATGGCATCTCCTATTTTACCCAGCAGGCTACACACAGAGAGGCCATTGCTAACGGGTAGCTCAGCACAAAAATCACCCCCCTCGTGGCCTTAGGACCATGAAACACCAGCACAGAACTGGTTTCCCCCAAAAACGCCTGGAGGGTAAACACACCTGCACCCCCTATCCCCCAAAACGCAGGGGAGGGCTTGAGCCCCAGCTCTCACAGGCCACTTCCCAAACTTGCTTTTACCCTGACACATTCTTCACAGCAAGATGCAAAAAATCAGCCTTGGCCAAGAGGCTGGTGATGCTCTCCAAATTCCTCCTTCGCAGCACTCCCATTTTTACCTCCCTTACTCGGATCAGCTAGCTCTTAGGAGTCATTTTAAAATCCCTTTGCCTTCCTGGCAGGGTGGTTTCGGGGCTGCCGTGCCATCTCTGCAGCACAAACTGCATGAATTAATGCTTACAGCTCCAGAAGTGGCATCACCAGCCGAGGGGTTCAGCAAACAGGCTCCTCCAGGAGTGTTGTAGCTGAGCTCGTTTTGCTCCCAACGCCCCAGAGAAGCCTCCGACTGAACCCAGACTGTCCCCAAGGTGGTGTAAAGGTGGCCAAAGCCAGGAGCGGGCACAGAATGGGTCTCAAGTTCTGAACTAACCCGGCCCAGACCAGCTTTAGCCCGGAGCAGAGCCCAGCCCTGGGTGGCAGGGCAAGGGCAGGACGAAGTGGCCACAATGGCGTCCCCCCAGCAGCCAGGGTGGCTCGGCCAGGGTTCCTCCCAGGGGACACGGGCTCTGTCCCTGCAGCGTGTCATTGCCCGCGGTGTCACACCAAGGGGTGACCTCGGAGGGGACACTCCATGGCTCAAACTGCGGGGCCCTTTGCCACCCCATCCCTGGAGGGGTTCAAGGGCAGGTTGGAGGGGGCTTGGAGCAACCTGGTGGGGGGTGGCACCGGGGGGGTTTTGAGGCCCCTTCCGCCCGGAGCCACTCTCTGGTTCTATCCATAAAGCACCTTTAATCTCTACCCAAAGCTCCACTCACGACCCGTTTTCCCCGTGCGGGGTTTTAAGCTGCCACCACAGGGCGGGTGACAGCCACCGGCCACCTCACGGCCAGGCCCGGCCCGGAGAAAGGGGCGGCCGCCTTTCCCCAGCCCCGCCGGCTCCGGGAGTCTGAAGGACGAAGCGGAGCCCCGGGCCCGGCCCCGTGGTGACCGGCTGAGGCGAGGCGGCGGGGGAGCGGGGCGGTGAGGGCCGCTGGGCCTCCGCCTCAGCCCCTTCCCCGCCGAGGGCGGCCCGCGGCCC